GCGGTGCCGGTAGGGCCATCGCACCTCTGCAGCTTCCGAAGGCTTGGTCGATGTCGAACACTACCGTCGCTGGCCTGCAACGTGTGGGCTCGCCACTCCCTGCGCAGCAATGCTGCTCAGGAACACGAACCACTCCTACAAGTAGCAATCGTACTGCCGTCGCATCCTGCTGCCGGCACATCTGCCCCTCCCAGCTGTATAACCACCGCGCGCGCCGTTCGACCCATGACTTTCCAGCCATGTGCGCCCGCTACCGTACTTACAAACAGTATGCATGTGTTCCTTTCTCGCGTATCCTGCAGCCGTCATCCGTGAAGCACTTGCTCCTGACAAACGGCCTCAGTACTGGCAAGGCAGTCGTTGTTGCAGGTCCTCGCAGAAGTAAAGACGATGGTATGCCTAAGCGCGCTGTTGCCCAACCAATCGCACGAACGTCATTTGTTTTCAAATCGCGGCGACGTCCACTGCGGATCTTGGGCAAAACTATGCAATACTTGGGCTACCAATGCCTTCTGACACGCTGTCAACACCTTGCTCGGATTGTTGCCACCCTGCACGATGGACCTCTTCACTTCAACAGCCAAGCTTATGTGATTCCCAGGTCTCTTATACAGCAATGTCATGTCAGGGGCGTTGAAAAAAAACGCATTGGCCGACTCGATGCCTGCGCGCCCCGCGCGACCAGCTCGAATCAGTCGCCTCGTGCTTTGCGCCCAAGACTACACTTCACCACGAGGCAGTTTGCACACTTGTGCATGCCTCTGCCAGATGGCTCACCTCCACGCTCTCACATGCGCCTTCTGCCATGGCATCCCAACTCTTGCTCCCAACGTCCGTGGCGACACCTGCTCAATATTGGTTTCCCCCAAAAAAAACCAGGAACCGTTTTTCGCTGACGTCACCTCTTGCCACCCGGGCCGCGTGCCTGAAACCATTCGAAGATGGCGAGCTATCCACTCACGAACATGCGCATTGCGAGCCTGCAAGAAGGAATTTTTGACGCTTCGCGTATCCCCACCAGCCCATCCAGAAACGATCAGCAGGGGAGTTGGTGAATCGGGGGCAACAAAACGCATGCAGTCGCGCAGCCGTCTTCGAGAATACAAGCATCACACATAGCTTCCCGCATTGAAGTTTAAGATGGGAACCCGTGCAAATTACGATGGTGCTTCGATGAGAAGTGAGGGGTATTTCGGTGACTCGTAATGGCTGTTGCACTGATTTGTATCTTAAGCTCGCGTGCGTTCCGAAACTTGGAGGCATCTTTGGGTCCTCTTGGGATTCTCTTGGGCCCCTCTTGGGGCCTCCGGGGGCTCTTTCTTGGGGCTCTCCTGAGGTCCTCTTAGGGCCTTCTTGGGGCGCTCTTGGGGTCCTCTTGGGGCCTTCTTGGAGCCCTCTTGGGGCTCTTTTGGAGGGTCTTGGAGCCCTCTTGGGGCTCTTTGAGGGAGTTTTGGGAGGCCTCTCGGGGCCGTCTTGGTCCTTATGGCTTTAAGGAGGGGGGGGGCTTAATTCTAATGCCGTCTTGAGACCCTCTTGGCCCGCTCTTGGAGCGCCACAGGGCGCTCTTGGGGCCGTCTTGGGGCTCTCTTGGGCCCCTCTTGGGGCTGTCTTGGGCCATCTTGGGGCCATCTTGAGGCCTCAAGAGCCCTTCGGAGGCGAAAAAGCGAGACGGCAAATAACATTGATTTTCCTTTGGTTTTTGAAGGATGTTGGCCTCTTGGGGGGGTCCTTGGGGGCTTCGGAGGGCACTTGAAACCGTCTTGGGGCCGTCTTGAGGCCTCTTGGGCGCGTGTCGGAGGCTATCTTGACCCGTCTACCGCTAGCTTGGGCCATCTTGGAGGCCATCATGCGCTCTCGGAGGCCCTCTTGGAGCCATCTTGGGCCATCTTGGACGCTGCTGTGGGTCCCTCCCCCCCGTCCAAACGCAGGGAGGGGGGGGAGGTAAATCTCCCGAGCAGGGAAAAGCAGGAGGTTGGAAAAGGGAAACGCCCTAGACCACCTGCGCCCAGAGGGCTGGCGGGATTCCCAACTACATGACGCAGCATGTTGATGTGATGTGTCCAACTGGCATGCACACTCAACGGTGTTGGGCGTACTGGTGGGAGTTTGAAGGCATTGGGCAAACGATTCAAGGAAGACCTCGCCGCAATACGGAAACCAGCACCTGGAATGACCTGATCAATACGTGCGGCCGCACCAAACATAACACGTGAGATTTCGCCTCTGCTCCAGGCTGCTGGGAATACTATATGTGGACGCTTGGTCGCCAGCTATATAATCAACGACGCCTCCTGCCCAGGACCAAACATTGTGAGCAGACCATGCTACCCTGATGCAGGCAACTGGCGAAACAGCCATGCACGGTGAAGCGTTTCCAACGGCATCTTTGAACCAGGCAGCCCTGATGCCTGAATAGGTGCTTTCTTCTCCTCCACCTTTTTGCAACTTCTGGCTGACGGCACCTTGGATGTGGCACTGCTCCCAGACGGGCTCTGCTGAGACGTTGGGCTGACCAAACCACCTCAACCCTCGGGGCGGATGCCGCCGAACTGCTGTGGCAGGCTTCAGCAACTGCCCAACATCTCTCGTGGTTCTCGCTGCTCGGGCCTCGTCCGCACCTTTCGCCCGCGGCTGCATACCCATGATGATAACATGTCCTACTGCAAGTGCTTGCGCCTCGTTCACGTAGAACCCAAGGGGAACAACACCATCAGATCCCAAGGACTGACGAAGAACGCGGTAGCGTCCGAACCCTCCATTTTGCGATGCTAAGAAGACAAGCCATGCATGTGTTCAATCTATCTCGCTGGCACACTGGGCGTGCCGCGGAGACGTAATCAATTAGCTTTACCAGCGTAGAAACCACTATGATACATGATACCGTACACCACTGCCCCTTCATGATGCTGTCGCACAGGCCTTATACGAAGTGCAGCCAGTCCACCGACGCCTTCACAATACCTTGGCGCGCCACTGGAGGAACCTCTTTCCAGAACGCTTGCCACCACGGTACAGGCTTGAGCTGCTGTGGCTGGGGGCGTAGCCGAGCAACAGTAAGACATATCGATGTTTCTGTCTACGCCGTTGTCTTGAGCGAATGGCGTCCAAAACTGCGAGCTACTGGAGGGGATAGGGCCGCAATACCATCGCCCACAGCTTCCGGCAGACCCGGTATATCGCATTCAAGGTCACAGTCCCGAGCCCACATACAACCTTCGGGCGAGGGAGCAGCGAGAACTGCCCACTATGGTGCCAGTGACTGGTGCACCCAACTCTCATGACGAGCTGGTCGCGGCCATAATAACCGCACCTCCATCAAAACGTTGAAGATGAGGCCGGGCATACATTCCATGGGCGGATGCTTCTGCTGATGTTAATGCTACGCTCCCTGACCCACGATGTCAGGCTCCACCTCGAAGCCCACGTCGACGACAAGGACGAGCACCACCTGTGGAAGTCTGAATGCGAAGAGGTTGAAGCACAATGCTGCCGTTGGACACCCGGCTAGCCCTGTGCCTGGATTTTTTTTCCACCAGCGTCTGCTCACCGACCCCTTCCCTTCCTCCGCGAGCGCCCCAGCGAGCGCCGTCCGAGCGGTGCCTAGGTGAGGCGTGGGACACCGAGGCCATGCTTGAGCTTCCCATGTGCGTGCCTCAGTTTTCAGTCTGGCCAGAGTGCCTGCAGCCAGCGACGACGGTGATGGCGATGACGATGACGACGACGATAAGGATGACGATGATGATGCTGCTGATGATGATGATGATGAAGATGATGAGTATGGTGCTGATTATGCTGATTATGCTGCTGCTGCTGATGACGATGCTGATGCTGATGATGCTGATGATGGTGATGATGATCATAATGATGATGCTGATGATAATGACGATTCTGATGCTGATGATGCTGATGATGATGCTGATGATCATTATGATGATGACGATGCTAATGATGATGCTGATGATGGTGATGGTGATGAGGATGAGGATGATGCTGATGATGGCGCTGATGATGATGCTGCTGACGACGACGACCACGTGGATTCGACGATGCGGATGCTGATGATGCTGATGGTGGTGATGATGATCATGTTGTCAACGATAACGACCACGATGATGGTGACGATGTTGATCTGATGATGGTGGTGGTGGTCATGATGATGATGATGATGATGATGATGATGATGATGATGATGATGATGATTATGATGATGCTGCTGCTGATGATGATGATGATGATGATGATGATGATGATGCTCGTGATGTTACTGTTGTTGTTGGTTGTGGTTATGGTGATGCTAATGATCATGGTGATGCTGACAATGATACTGATGATGCTGATGACGCTGATGATGCTGATGATGTTGATGCTGATTTTGCTGATGATGGTTATGATGATGATTATGATGATGATGATGATAATGGTTCGATATAGTGATTATTATGATGATGGTGATGATGACGATGATGATGATGACGACGACGTCGACGACGACGATGATGCGGAGGATGAGGAGGAGGAGGAGGAGGAGAAAAGGGTGGACGTGGAGGAAGAGGAAGGTCGTCACATGTGACCTTTTCCTCTTCACCTTGGTGCTCATTTGGACACTGTTGGAAGCTGGCTTCGGCTCCTGTGGGGCAGTCTTGGAAGTCCGTTTGGGCCATCTTGCCGTTTTGGGGCTCTTTGGGGCCGTCTTGGGGCCTTCTTGGCTGCGTGGGAGGTCTCTTGAGCTTGGGTCCTTTTGAAGGAGCTCTCGGTAAGCTTGGGGCTCTCTTGGGGCCGTCCAGGGCTGTTTACGGGCCCTCGCTGGCCGTTTTGACACCGACTTGTAGGATTACTGCTTCATGTTGGGTACCTCTTGGGCTTTTTTGGGGCCATCTCGGAGGCCTCCACAGTTAAAATTCACAAACAAGTTTTGTGTCCCCTGCTGTTCGAGCCTCGCAGTCAGGAGTACTTCGCACGTCGTTTCATCGCGTCCACATTCAATCCAGTCAACGCGCCAGGGGGCTGGCGGATTGTTTGTGATTAAGCACATGCAGAATGACTCATGCCTCGAGAATCCTGACGCAACCTGGGTCTCCAAGATGCGTGGCATCCCAGGGAAGCAGAACACGAATTTGCTTTCAGAGCTGGAGGACATGCACCAGAGGCTACGTGATCAGCTGCAGGGTCCAGTTTTCCACATGCTCACTGATTGGGCGAAGCTCGCCAGCAAGAATAAAGGCAAGAAGTCCGGAAAGCTGGACAGCGACCAGACCATGCAGATAGCTTGCCGCACGCACGCCCACATATGTCTCACTTATAAGAATGTACCAGCCGAGAAATTCACCGAGGACGACGTTGCGATCTTTCTGTCATCCCAAATGTACGTCAACATGAACCACAGGTGGTTCCGAGCGGTGCGGGAGGCAGAAAAGGAACAGCCTAAGCAAGACGGCCTGGGAATCAGCGAGTTCGAGCTCTTCGACATATTCGAGGCCAGGCGCAGCCGGATTGCGAGGTGGCTGCGCCAGAACAAGGGCCCTGTTACCAGCAAGGTAATGAGGCGTGTGGCCAAGGTGGTAACCATGGGCGTCACAATACATCAAGTAGACGACGACGACGTGGAGTGGGTTGAGATTCCCACGGAGCCTGGCAACTACCAGCCCAAGGCGGGCAATAACGATTGGCGCAAGCCCCTTGTGAAGCGAGCCAACACTGCAGCAGCTCCAGAAGAAGAGGAGTACCAGGAGTGGCTGCTCCGGGTCACAGAGGCTACCAGGACTGGAACTGTGTCTGTCAACCTCGGCCGTTTTCTTGTGAGGGGGGGCGGCATGCAGCTGCTCCCAGACTGGGCCCTCGACTCGGAGGACTACATGACGGCCCTCGGAAAAACGGAGGTTCACGTGTCGGACAAGGAGATCACGCGCTTCCGCCAGTGGAAGGCCCTCGATGGCACCAGGCACGAGGTGGTGCGCTGGGAGCCCATGGTGGACAGCCGGACGCGCGCGGGGGACGCCCAGACGCAGGCAGTGCTGCCGGTGTTCAGCAGCCTGGGGGGGCCTTCGGTGCAAAAGTACGACCCAGACGCGCTCGCCGAGGACCGGCGGTGGCTGGCCAACCTGCTGGAGCCTGTGCGTGCGCGCCTGGGTGCCCTGAAGGCCATGGCGCTGTATTACGACCCGAACAGAACGGATCTGCGTGGCAAGGACCGAATCGCACATTTGGTCGGCGTGCACACGGAAAAGACACAGGAGAAGCAAGAAAAGATGTTGGAGCAGATCAAAGAGGTGGTCGTGCACAGCAACCCGCCCCTTGTGGAGGCCCCAGTTGCAGTGGAGGCGGAGGTGGAGGAGGAGGAGGAGGAGGAGGAGGCAGAGGCTGAGGCTGAGGCAAAGGCGGGGGAGGAAGAGGAGGATTGGAGGAGGATTGGAGGAGGAGGATTGGAGGAGGATTGGAGGAGGAGGAGGAGGAGGAGGAGGAGGAGGAGGAGGAGGAGGAGGAAGAGGAGTCAAATGAGGAGTCAAAGGAGGAGGAGGAGGAGGAGGAGGAGGAGGAGGAGGAGGAGGAGGAGGAGGAGGAGGAGGAAGAGGAGGAGTTCAAGGAGGAGAAGGAGGAGGAGGCGGAGGCAGAGGCGGAGGGGGAAGTGGGCCTTGCTTCCCTGCTGGAGGTCTACGACGTCTACGAGTTCGGTCGTCAATACTACAGGAGCCTCGTGTTCACCTCCGACTGCAAGTGGTCGTTCCACACGCCCACTGCAGGTGCCGAGGGCTCCGCGCTCATGCTCTACAATGCATCGAGCGCTGTGTGGACGATGGGGGAGGGAAGGCCCGAATCCATCCGAGCGCCCGCTCCCAGCGTCCTGATCTACAGGAGGACTCTGGATGCCATTGGCAGGCAGATGTACGTACCGTCCAAGCTTCTGCAGGGACTGATGCCGGACGCGCTGCTGGAGAGGTATACGTTCTGGAGATCGGAGACCTCAGGGAACGTTCTCATCGGGGACGAGTCCAACAAGAAGGTAGAGGTGCCGACCAGGCTCACAGTCGTCATTACCAGCGATAACCATGGCACGACCGCCACCATCGAGCGCGTCACGCTCAAGGAGCCCACTGACAGGGCTTCACGCAGGTACGACCGCTGGGAAGTGGACACGCAGAAGCCGAAGGAGGTCCTCGTCAACCTGCGCAAGAGCACTGGCGACCTTGCCATGCTGCTCGCGCGTGTGGAGAACGTTTCCCACATCCTCGTGTGGGCCAACTCCTCGGGCAAGGTGTGCCGGGTGGAGTACCCGCGCATCTGGGTCTCCTTCACGGAGAAGGGGGGGCGCCTGTTCTGCGACCAGCACAGCGGGTGCTGGCTCCTCACACGGGAGTGCCCCCACGATGTCACCAAGCTCGTGGCCCAGTTCGGTGGGGGAACGCTGCTCCTGGAGGACGACATGGGGGCCATGATGGTCCTCGCCTCCTCGGTGGCCGAGCCCGTGCGACCAGCCCTCGTGGGCAAAGGCAGCGGAGCCGTCGAGCGGCTGCTTCCCGGCCAGCTCGTGTTCAAGTGCGGGCAGGAGCGCTGGATGCGGAACCTGGTGGGCGGCGCACGGCACCACTACTACCCCGTGCACCCCTCCGGGACGTTCCTCTTCACGCCGACGCTGGCCGCGGGCCTCTACCTGCTGATCTGCCGCTTCATCACCTGGCACTTCCCAGAGGTGGTGGCGCAGTCGGCGACGATCTCGGAGGCTCTGACGCCCGAGGAGAAGCAGCTGTGGTCCCTGCTCGACCTGCTCGTGGCCGACTGCCACGCGGACGCCGTGGCCTGCCGCCTGAACCTCACGCTGGCAATGGCGCCGTACGGGGCGGCCATGGCCTGCCCGTGGCAGACCAAGGAGAAGTTCCGGCACCAGGTGCTCGAGTACTTGCGGAAGAGGCACTTCGTGTCCGCGGACTGTGCGCTGTCCCTGAAGGACGAGGTGCGCATCCTGAACCTGCCTGGGATGGGCCTGTCGGGCCTGGAGCTGGCCACGCGCAAGGCTGTGCTGGAGCAGCTGCTCGAGAATGGCGGCGGCGACGCCGCTGTCCCGGCGGACCTGGGCCCGCTGCTGGACGACTACGGCTACGACAGGATCAAGGACGACACTTGGACCGTAGACCGCGGGTACTTTGGCAAGATTGCCGTCACTGCGTGGATCGAGGGCAAGGGGGCCGTCTACCGGCGACCCCCGCAAGACGAGCTCTCGGGGATAGAGGCCTTGCGCTACCTGAACGGCTTGGCCTCTGGCGTCAATGCGCTCTGGGTGCCGAGTTTTCTTATTCAATTGCTTCGCTCACTCCGCCAGCCCGTATTGTGCCATCGCAGGCGTTTGCCTGTGCGTTCGTGGCCTCTTGGGGCCTCTTGGGGGCCGTTTGGGGGCTTCTTGGAGTCTTTTTTTTTTTGACTCTTGGGGCCTCGTGGGGCCTCCAGGGGCTTCCTGAGCTCTCTTGGGGGCCTCTTGGGGCCTCCTGGGGGCCTCTTGGGGTGGAAGGCTCGAATTGGTGGTTCGTGTTCCCCTCTTGGGCCCCTCTTGGGGCCGTCTTTGGGCCCTCTTGGGCTTTTTGGGGGCCCTCTAGGGCCGTTTGGGGGCCGTCTTGGACCGCCTGGGAGCCCTCTTGGGGGCCTCTCGGGCCGTCTTGGGGTGGTATGAGGGGACTCTGGGACCATCTTGGAGCGTCGGAAAGCCGAAAAGGCGAGAAGGGTGAAAATCGATGATTTTTCTATCTTGGGGACCTCTTGGGACGCCTCTTTGAAGCCTCTTGGGCCGTCTGGGCGGCCTCTTGATCCGTCTGGAGCCCATCTTGGGGCGATTTTTGGGGCGTGTCTGGCCCCTTTTGGGGCCGTCTTGGGGCGTTCTTGGGCCCGTGTGGCCGCCTCTTGTGCTGTCTTGAAGCCGTCTTGGGCCATCGGGGGGCCATCTTGGGAGACTCTTGGGCTGTGTTGGGGCGGGCGGCTTGGAGGCCTCTTGGGCCCTCATAGAGCGTTGGAAAAAAGGCGAGAGGGCTGAAAACCTTCCAAAACCAAGGGGAGATCAATGATCTTTGTCTCGTGGGGATCTCTTGGGAGGCCTCTTGGAAACCTCTTGGGCCGTTTTGGCGGCCTCTTGGGCCGTTTTGAGGTCATCTCGGGCGGCTTGGGGTGATTTTTGGGCGTCTCCGGCCCTCTTGGGGGCCGTCTTGGGGCGTTCTTGACCCTGAAGGAGGAAGGGCAAAGGCGAGATGTATCGAGCGTTTGTCCGCGGCCATGTCGGCCTAGTGACCGGCCACCTATGTGACTGTGCGTCTCCGAGGCGCACTACCATAAATCGAGACAGAAAGGCATCATCTTTACTCTTGAAATGTATGGCCGCTCTCGAGGCTCCTTCCTACTTCTGGGGCTACCGTTGCTACGGTACAACAGAGTTGGGTGCATGCTTCGCCTTAGGCGAAGCATCTGGTTGAGCCCTACTTCTCTGCGCTACTACACTCCTGAAGTCCACCCACGTACGCCAATTGGCAGTGTCTTCGAAGATATAACAGTATGCGTGGTAACATGCGACACGAGACCGTGCCGCCTCCAACCCCATGCAAGTTGACGGCAACGTCGCCTCACAAACAACAGCCACATACAACCGACTCTGACCTACGGTGCCATTGGATTGGCATCACAATTTTGGGCCTCCCATGGGTCTCCATCGGATGCGTTGTTGGACATATGCAGCGTGGGGGAGACGACGCACGCACTACCGGCCCCCAGTGGGACCCTGCCGGTAATGCACCTTTCCGCGAGTTTGTTCGCGAGGTACATGCGTGGATCATTGTGACCACAGGCGCTATGCCTCCCTCCCAACAGGCCGCCGCTCTACAGCGTGGCCTTGGAAGTCTCGCAAGGACCATAGCCGTGAGGCCCCCCCCCGCAGTAATCAATTTTGGTGTCAACATTGGTGGTCGCCACATCGACGGCGTCACCTACATAATGTTCGTCCTCAACACTACGTTTGAGAACTTGGAAGAAAAACGACAACGTAATTCGGGGACGACTCTGATTGACTTTCGCGTCCATGCGGGAAAGGATCGACCAGACGTTGGCCCGCTTCGAGATTGCGCGCTTCGAAGCTGACGCTGCGGGGTTCAACATCCCAAACTTCCAGATCCTGACAGTCATGCTGTTCAGAGCAGTAGGTGTCGGTACTTCGCGTGCACAGCAACTACTACAACCACTGAACCACCACATGCCAAGGACCCACCAACAGTTCGACGCCTTACTGGAGCGCATGAGGGCTGACGCCAATTTGCCGAGCGAGCCCCTGGCAACACTGGTGGTGTATTTAGCCACGGCCACCACGCTGTTGTCTTTCATGGTGACACCCATGCGGGGCAACATGCCAGCAACGTCTGGAATGACGATCCAGAACCAAGCGAGGCCACCACTCTATGAAGCCAACGCGGTGGCCAGCCCACGGGGTCGCAAGACTCCTGGGTTCGATATCAGGGACTGCCGGCAACGTCGGCCCCTACCCAAGCCACTGCCCTCATGGGTTCGGCGGGGCAACCTGCAGAGTCCGAGTTTGACTCTGGCACCGACACTGACACCTCGTCAGATGAAGGAATTGGTAGCCTGAATATTCCGAAATGCCCGTGCATCTCACTGAAGAGCAGCAGGCGCAACTGATATTTCAGGGATGCCAGAAGCACGAGCGCCGATGGAGACGTTTTGGGAAGACACCAGTTCGAAGGGTGCGACGTGCAGTCCGACGTGTGTTTAGGTCAATGGGTACGGGTAGCGGTAAGGGTAAACGACGACGGTAGCATGGTAGAGGTTTGCTTACATTCTTGGCTTCCCTTACGGGACCACAGTATGAGGCAATCTTCCTGGGGGAGGGTAGAGGCCGTAGGCGCGCCTCAGGAAAAAGGTAAGGGACGTCGGGGTAATCCGATGGGTGCCAACGGGAAAACCATAGAATGTGATATCTGCCATGGCACTCCATTTTATGTCCGCGAGGTACATGAGCGCCAGCGTGTCCTTCGAGAGGTGCGCCGAGGAGCTCTTCGAGGATATCTACGTTGGTCACGATGAGGTCGATCTCGCAGATTGGCTGGGTATCCCAATCGCGGGGCAACCTGCGCGCGTGGAGATCATCGAGGAGCGCCGACCACCTACCACTTGGACTGCGATGTGGCGGGGGCGCCTGCACACTCCGATGGGTGCGAGCCGCGTAGTTCTGATGATGAAACGAGGCCAGCTGCGGAGGAGTAGCTCCGATTCTCACTCCCGCGTGACGCTGGTAGCCTTTCTGAGCGGATCATGTGCGCACACGGGCACAATGAAGGTTCTCGCATCACCCTTGTGCTGCGTGGCCGTTCTTCGAGCCGCAAGGCTTGGAGACGCGTGGGGCGCACTAATGATGATGATGGGGGTGGGGGGCTGAGAGCAATCTGCCGTGCTGTCAATGGCGGAGTCGTTCGCGTAGGCACTCGCGTGCCCGCTCGGGCGGCGCGCGGCGCCCTCGTCCGCGAGATCCGAGAGGGTCGCCACGAAGGGCGCTGTCGCGGGGCAACCCGCATCAGGGCGATGAAAGCTCAGGCGAGCCCGAAGGCCAGCGTCGGCTCAGACTAGTCGGTGGACTGAACGACGGGCGCGCCCGCCGCCGTGTGCCAGACGGCTGCGCGAGGCACTGGCGGGGGCAGGGCTACTCCGAGCATCGAGTCCGCCGCTGCTGGTCATTGCGGAACGTGCAGCGGGATGGGGGCACGGGCAACATCACCCGTTCCAACAGAAGAGGCGGCGCCAAGACAGCTGAAACGTTGGAAGGGGAGGCCGACAAACGAGACGTCATTGCGGATCGGAAGACGTGCCGAGAGAAGGTCTGTGGGTGCGATCACTTCGCGGGCCGCAGACCGAATTGCCCGATGGGGCGCCCTTCAAGCAGCCCCAATTTCGAGAGAACCCCGTGGGTCTGGCCCCATGGGGGCGGCGAAGGCCGCGAGGTGGGCCCAAGCTACAACCCCAGTGAAGCGCACCTGACCAAGACGGACTACAAGCCGTCAGATGAGGCCCAGACCAAATTCGTTGAGAAAGGCTGGGTGGGTGGGGGGGGGGGGGGACTTAGATGAGGAGCACTGACTTAGGCGTCGCAGTCGGGAATGCCGCGAGGCCCGACGCGATGCACCAGCGGCCTCTTCCGCGGGCACACCCGCGCCTTTTCACGTAGGTGCCGATGCGGGCCAGGACAAGCGGGGTAGCCCGCCAGCCGCGGCAACTAGAGAAGGCGAGGCGTCCGGTCTCGCGCGAGCCGTTGATCCCGGTGCACCTGCGTCTGCGACTGTGTCTGAATGCGAATGCGAGTCCTATGCTGACGAAGACGCTGAGTCAGAGATCGACGTCGGTGTATCACGGCGAGGGCGTTGGATGGATAGTTACCGCGGTGCGAGGTAAATTGCCCAATGGGAGATGCCATTTTGATTGCAAAAAGAATGCCAGTATCGAGAATATGAGGCGCCACCGACGTGAGCGGAGGCCTCCGTCAGACAGCTCCTCGCGCAAGAGTGCGGGGAACCTTGCGGCGCCCGCCGATGCGGGGCAACCCGCGAAGAAAGCAGACGAGCCCCCGGAGCCCCCGAAGCGCTTTCAGAAGGACGTAGATTTATCTCCATCTTCAAGCGCGCCGAGGTCACCTGGGTCGAAGAAGCGAATCAGCTTAGCAGAGGCGGACCCTGGAAGAAACAAGGCGAGACGGTCTGACGGGGAGCCCGCGGGGGAACCTGCCCGTAGATCGCATTCCAGGGGGCCAGCTGTGGCAGCCGCGGCGGCAGCGTTCCAGGGCAGCAGCGCGCCTGGGCCGAAGGGCCCGTTGCGCTCCGCGGCGCCGCACCTGGCCGGGCCCATCGTGGAGCTGGCTGGTCACCCTCACTGGGCGGTTCAGCAATGCATCATGCCTCGCAGCCTGATGCGGAATGGAAGGCGCCCCAGACCACATCCAAGGCACCAGGAACTCCGGAGGTGAGCAGGTGCCTGTTCACGGATACCAGCGAGAAGGAGAATGACCCATCTGGAAGTGCAGGTCATCCGTAGGTCCCGCTGCCGCGTCGGCTTCTGCGGGGGCACCCGCTGCGTCCGCATCTGCGGGGCAACCTGCTAACGTCCCTGAATTTGATGAGGGAAGCAAGCTCTACTGGGAAACGCTGGCACCCCGCGACAGATGCCAGTTAACCCGTCGTGCAATGGTACTGCCGATGATGGTTTGAACCGATGCAGAGTAGTGCTGCGTAAAGAAGTGCGCGCGGCAACGCGCGTAACAGAGATTGCCG